CTGGATTCCAAGCGCGGCTGGAACTTCAGCTCCCATGAGCTCCTGCCAGTGGCCAGGAAAGCTGGGAGACGCAGTCCAGCCCATCTAGAGAGCCACCTCTGCTCACCCGGCTCTACTCCAGAGGGCGCCAAAGCCCCAAAGCCCCTGCTCCTGGGCATCAGGTGAGCCCAGGTGCCAATCCAGGGCTCCGCGCTCCCTCAGCTGCGATTCTGAGCCAGGCTGGCGAGCCGCCATGCTTATCAGTCCACGGCCAGGTGCCCCCCCCGCTCACCCCCCCAGGCCTGCCGCTGTTGTGGGTGCAGACGCTGAACGAGCCCTGGGACGCAGGGCCTCCCCACCCCATGCCCCTTCCTCGCAGGGGGGCCACCGGGAAGGTGCCAGTCAGAGGCAGGAGGAGCCGAGTCAGTGCTGAACACCTGGGGAAGGGGCGGGCTTTCAGGCCGGTCTCAGAAGCCCTTCCAGTTCGAGCGCGGGAAGCTCAGGGACTCCAACTCCTATCAGCCTCAGCCAGCATGGCCAGTGGACGAGGATGAAGGGGCATGCAGCGCCGCAATCCCTTAAGCTGGGTGTATGCCTTTCTACTTCCCCAAATTTCTTAGTCTTGCAGATTTTTTTTGAGAGCGTAGATCCTAAAACTGCTGCTGGTTTATTCTTATCAGCAACACCATCAATGTCCATTTCACCCAAGAGTCCATTTACAAAGGATTAAATATGCCATGAAAAACACAATATACAAGGCACGTAAAACAAACACAATAGAAATATGCATAAAACATAATATAAAAACCATCTAAAATATATAGGAATAAATAGGAACAGAAAACTCAACCTGCAGCACCTTCCTTGGCTGCAGCTGACAGTCACCCCATGCCCAGAAAACCTCTTGACTGGACTGTTGCAACACACCCTACATGGGGCTGCCTTTGAGGATGGTATGGAAACTTCAGCTGGTCCAGAACGATTGACGAAAGAGGGGCCATGCGCCCAGATCATGCCCACTTCTTTCCATCTACGCCGGCTGACAGTTGAGGTCCGGTCCCAATCGACATATAAAGCCCTAAATGGCTTGGGACCAGGACGCGTGAAGGAAGGCCAACCATGAAGACCTGTTTAGCGACCCTTCTCAAAGCACCGTCCCCCAAAGAGGTGAGGGGGTTGACAAACAGAAGGTGGGCCTTTTCAGAGCGGTGCCCCCCGACTGTGGAACAGGCTTCCCAGAAAAGTACTCCTGGCACCCGCATTATTAGCATTCTGTGCCATTCCTATTTTCCAGATATTTTAAAGGTGGAATAATATTGGCTTTATATTTTAGGGATTTTTGTGGTTTTCTTGCCATTGTACCTGAGTAATTTTAAGACCATGAGCTATGTAGCTGTTGTAATTGTATTAATATATGTATTTTATCTGTTTTCACGATTGCTTTTTATTAAACTGGAGTTTACAAAACTTAAAAGGATCAAATAAACAGTTCAAGCACACAATCCCATCCATGCAGTCAACTGCCCCCAAGCCTTGTTTCGGGACCCACCTGGGCAGTTTTGTTTATTGGGCAGTATAAAAATTGTTGTGGCTATTATTATTAGCCCAATGGCAAGCAGACGGCCACAGGTTCTGCACCCCAGGCAGCCGTCTGTCTCCAAGGATGTCCAGCCAGATGGTTCTGGAAAGCTCACCAGCAACGCCTGGCCACAGGATCTGTCCAGCCAGATGGGTGCACGGCCTCCTCCTGCCCAGCTCCTCAGCAAGCCCCCCTCGAGAGGAGACGCGCCTCTGCTGGGAAAGGAGGGAGCCCATGGCCAACAAGGCCAGTAGCCGCTCAGGTAGCCCCCCCCTCCTCCTCCATCCATCTCTCCAGCCCCCCTTTAAAGCCGTCCACACTGGCAGCCGCCACCCCTTCCCACGGCAGCAAATTCCATCATTCAAACACGGTGAAGAAGGGCTTCCTTTAATCTGTCCCAACCCTCCCACACATCAGTTCCATGAGATGCCCCCGTTTCATGGGAGAGGGAGAAAAATGCCCCCCCTGCTTTCTCCACCCCATGCATGGCTGGAAACCCCTCTGTCCTGTCCCCCCTTCCTCTCAGCTGAACATCCCCAGTCGTGGGAGCCACACCCCAGAGGGGAGCTGCACCGCCCTCCCCCCTGATCATTTTCCTTGCCCTTCCTTGAAGGCATCACACCCATCCTCCTTGGGGCACTTGCGAGACTGCCCCACTTCCCCCATGGATGCCTCCCATCCCCTTCTACAGTCACCCCCCAGCTGCCGGCAGTCGCCACGTCTCGGGTCTGATCTCCGCAAAGGCACCGTGTGTTTTCATGGTCCCCACTCCATGTGGTGATCCCAAGATCCCAGCCCGATTAGAAGTGTGGGGCAGCGTGCTCGAGGCGTCTCCCTCTACACTCCGGCACACCTCTGCCCCAGCCTTCCCCAGCCTGGTGCTCCCCAGAGGGCCTGAACTACAACGCCCATCATTCCCACCTAGAACGGCCAGGAAATAAATATGCAAAGGACCCTGGCTGCATCGGTCTGTCTCCCTCCTCTGCCTGTTTTCTACGCCCGGAAAGACCACCGCCTCAATTGGGCATCCAGCAGGGTCTCCTTCCCAGAGGGTTTTGCAGGGTGCCACACCCACCGGGACGATGCCAAGCCGCCGGAAAGCAAAAAAGCCAAATGGCTTTCTCCATCATTCTTAAGCAAATCGTATTTCAGTTCTGCCAAAGGCCATATGGTAGAAAAGAGGATTAAAATTTGAGAATTCAGAGAGATCCTGTTAATATGATAGAGGTGGGAGGGGGGACCCCATCACAGCACCGAAGCCTGCAAGAATCAGGAGACAGAGACGCTCACAACAGCAACGCTCCCCGTGGGGTGCCCCCCCCCCAGATTCAGAGTGCTCTTTCTGCCTGGGAGGGGCTGCTTTGGCTGGAAGGCAGGCCAAAGCCGCTGTGCCTGTTTCCTTAAAGTAACAGCGAGTTCAGAGCCAGCGGGGTGGCATTTTCAGGGAGCAGCAGGTGAGTTGCAGTGCCTGCACCGTTTAAATCAAGCGTGCAAAGCGTCAAGGGCCTTTCAGGCATTTCTCCTAAGGGATGTGAACCAACAGGATCCTTCGTCCAGTCATTACTTATGTACCCAGATGCCACGAACCATTAACTAGGGCTGTTAGACTCTATTAATATACGATTAACGTGGGAAACCAAAGGAGCCCAGGACGTGGCGTTTCCCACATACGGAGCTGAAGAGCTGCGCAGGTTGGAAAGGGGCTCGCCTCTTCCATCCGTTTCTCTCTCTGGCTTGCCCCCCACCTTGGCATGAAGCTGCACACAATCCCCCCCCCTCCCTGTCTGACTGAGTTCTGCTAGACATACCTAGTGCAAAACTACATATGTCTACTCAGACATAAACCCCACTGAATTCACTGGGGCTTGCTCTCACATGTATGGATATAGGATTGGGAGCTGGTCCTTACAGACTGGAAACCTGCTTTCAGAGGGTTTTTTCCCCTGAAAGAGAAAGATGCTTATTTTGCTACAAATACTTGTGCTTAAGAAATCAGCATTAAAATAGTTTCTGTTTTCATATCCGTGTCTGAGGTTAAACGCTTTTCTTCCGCACCAACATGGCTGATTCCGGGGGGGGGGGGGAGCCCATAAGAAAGGAGTGAAAATGTGAAGGCTGGGCTATTCTGAAGGGTGGTAAGGTGGGCACCTATTTGGGGGAGCTGTCGTGACAGGTGGGGAGGAGAATTTGGTTGAAAAACTGATCTCCATCTTGAAAAAGGCAAGGAGGGGGAAGAAGGCAGGAGGGTATTCATCCTAGATTAAGACAGGCAGTCCAAAGTATCCTAAATTCGGCTTTTGCTCACAGTGTCTGAACTCCATTTGGTGGCCAGATTTGCCAGTTGCCAGTCACCCACCCCCCCCAGCCCCGCCTGGGTCGCCTCTGCAGTTTCAAAATTCAAGGAAGTACCCAGCCCAGTCCATTTCACGACTGGGTGTGGTGTAAACCCAGCGGCTGCCCATCCGGGTCCGGACCTTCCCTGACATCTGGGCACGAGGGCGGCGATGGAAGGACGCCTCGCCGGTTTCCTGCCTACCCGGGCAAGCAGCGCTTGCGCCCACGCCTCGGAAAGGAAGACAACCCGCGAGCGGGGAGAAATATTTGCAGCTTTAGGGAGCCCGCGGAGACCCCCCCGCCCGTGCTCAGCCAAACCCGGCGCCTCCCGTTGAAGGCGCAACTTTAGCAGTCACAAACCCAGCAGAGCCAGAGCCGTGGGCGTGCTCTCGCCCCGATCCCCACCTCGAAGTGTGCCCCGTTCAGACGGGCAGGAAGACACGCTCCGTGCCTGTGATTCCTAGGGTGATTAGCCTTTGCACACGCGAGTGGAGGAAACGACACCTCCGCTGGCGTGTTTCCCCGAACAAAGGGGCTGCGAATCGGGAATGCGGGAGGAGGCGAGGCGAGGCGCACCCTCGCCCAGATCTTCCGTGCAAAGCTCGGCATTCGCGTCCATTTCAGATGAGCCACGCTCGGTGGGCGCTGCGACCCTCCCCCCCCCGCAGTGTGTGTGTGAGAGAGAGAGAGAGAGAGAGAGAGAGCGCGAATACATTTGGATGCAGCTGCAGCGATAAAGCGGTTTGCACAACGCAAGGCTGCGGGCACACCGACGGTGCGCGTGGGCTGTGCACGCCCCCGGCGAGTGGGAAGCCCTTTCCCCCCGTGCCCCCTGCACCGGGACGCTCGTGGGGAGCCGCAGCCTCCCCCTCCCCCTCCCCCCCCTCGCCAGCCCCTGGAGCGCACGACGCGGCGGGTCCTGCCACCCCTTCCCCGGCTCCCGGCGTTTCCCCGGGAAGCGTTGCACGGCGCCCGCCAGCGAGGAGGGGCGCGCGTGGGGCAGGGACACCCCCACCCCCCACGCCCAGCGGGCGCCCCATTCAGCGACCCCCGGCCGCGCCGCGCGGGAAGGGGCGCCCGCCCCCGGCTCGCCGCCTCGCACACGCACCTGGAGGGCTCCGCAGACGCGTCCGCCCGGCTCTCTCCGGGAGGGGAGGCTCGCCCTGCTCCGCGCTTCCCGCGCCGGGTCCGGATGGGGCGAGCGGGAGAGGACGCGGCGCCGCGACAGCTGCAGGGGGCGCGGAGGAGCGCAGGGCGAGCGCGACTGCCTGCGAGCGGAGAGCTGCGTCCCCACCCAGTCCGCCCCGTGCGCGCGCGCGGGTGCCCGTGCGGGTGCGCGCGCCCGCGATCTCCGCGCCGCGAGTCACAGGAAACCGCCCGTCCGCTACTTCCTCCTGCAGCGTCTGGCGCGGAGCGCGCAGCCCCTCCGGGTGGCCGCCCGCCGACGCGCAGCGCCTCTGCGCCGCTTCTGCTTTTGCGGCGGCTTAAGCGGCGCAAGGAGCGCCGCTGCCCTGCCCTGTCCCGCCCTGCCCTGCTCGCGGGCGCGGTGGCGCTTGTCTGCCATGCGGAGCGCCAGCACCGGCTCGCAGCGCGCCCGCTTCGCTCCGGTGGAGGCGGGAAACGGCCGGGCGACTCCCGGCCGCCCCAGCCCGAATGGGCCTCCGAGGCCCAGCATGCCCCAGCGAGGGAGAGGCGGTCCCGGGGCATGCTGGGCGCTGGGGACGGGGTGCTGGCCAAGACCAGCACGGATGGCCCTGCGGAGCCCTCGACCTGGGGGGACCTCGTGGGCGCCCAGGCCAAGGCCCGCTCAGGACACTCGGCCTCCTGGACAGGCGGCTGCCCAGCCCTCGGTGACAAAAAACCGGCCCCTTCAGGGCAGTCTGTTTCCTACGACTTCAACCTAATTCAGGGCTGGGACTCATTTGCTGGCCCTGTGCCCTGGTGGGTGTCGATTCATAAAGTATGCCTCTGGGAGTGTGCAGAGTTCCTTTCCCACATTGCTTGGAGGTTCTGGCAAGAGTGGCTTCTTCCCCGCCAGCTGTGGAGCACCTGTGTTTGGTACTCCAGCTGTTGAAAGAACCCACCTTTTGCTGCTACCTGGAGACAGGAAAGGGCACAATGAATAACTTCGGTGAAGACCTGAAGCCCCCTCTGAGCGAGCTGAACGCCCCGTGGCCTTGTTCTGGGCAATCTGACATAAAAGGGCAGAGTTCTTGGAGCATACACAGAGTGTGTTGTGCTTGTTCCTTGGGAGGAAAGCGATGGCAAATCTAGACAGCATACTAAAAAGCAGAGGCATCACCCTGCCAACAAAAGTGCGTATAGTCAAGGCGATGGTTTTCCCAGTTGCAATGTATGGCTGTGAAAGCTGGACCATAAGGAAGGCTGAGCACCGAAGAATTGAGGCCTTTGAATTGTGGTGCCGGAGGAGACTCCTGCGAGTCCCTTGGACCGCAAGGCGATCAAACCGGTCAGTCCTAGAGGAGATCAACCCTGACTGCTCTTTAGAAGGCCAGATCCTGAAGATGAAGCTCAAATGCTTTGGCCACCGAATGAGAAGGAAGGACTCCCTGGAGAAGAGCCTGATGCTGGGAAGAATTGAGGGCAAAAGGAGAAGGGGGTGGCAGAGGATGAGGGGGCTGGGTGGGGTCACTGGGGCAGTGGGGGGGGCTTGGGTGTGTTGTGCAAAAAGCTGCAAAAATACTCCTCCCCAAGTTAAATAAGCAGGACTACCAACAGAGTGAGGCGTTTCCTTTGTTTATCACAATAGACGGGGAGAACCTGCTCTATTGGAATCTCTCCAAAGCGCAAACACACGAAACAGCTCCTTCACCCCTCAATCCATCTGCCACAGTCCTCCCCTTTTCCCTCACTGGGGAAGCTACCAGGAGTTCTGTCCGCCTAGTTCATATTCCCTGCCTCATCCCATTCCATATATCTGCATACATCGCAGGTACATTATAATTAGCCCACTGTCTAGTCAGGGTGTGTGAGTTGATACTCATCAACCAATGACACCTGCCTGCTTACAACTACAGGTTCACTAGTTCCCCCCTCTCTTAATGTCCCCCTGCCCCATGACCCAGTCTCATAAAACTCCCGGGGGGACGAGATAGGAAGGAGCACACTTTCTTTCAAGCCAATTATATTTTATTTCCCTCCACCTTCCTTCACTTCAGGCTTCATGGCTTGGTTGTTTGCTTCTCTGTTTCTCAGTCACCGAGTGACTTTCTCCAGGTAAACTCCGGAATATGGTGGAGAACATCAACCTGGAGGAATATTGTCCACGACGACGTTGCGACTGAACATAACGCAACAACCCAACACAACACATGCTGTCTCTGGGCATTCAGCTGGCAGAGGGCCTGTTGCCCCAGCTGACGGAAGATGGTACACCCCTCCTCTGCCCTCCCTCCTTTCAAAGGCCCCCCCTGCTGAAGGAGCGGAGGGGGCCCCCCCCCCCCGCTGAGGCAGGATTTAGCTGCAGAGACGCTGAAAGGCTGCAGCCCGCTGTGCGCGGTGAAAAGCTTGCTTACCAAGTGGCCGGCGTGTAGCGGTGGATCAAAGGAAGGCGATGAGCATCTTGTTCAGCGGGGATGGAGAGGCAAGTCAGCGCGAGCTTCGGGGCCCTCGGCGGACTTCGGGTAAAGAAGATTCTCCGCTTCCACCGAGCCGCCTGACGTCCAGTCTGCCCACGCCACGAGGAGTTTGCATCCTCCACCCGCTCGGCATAAATGAATCCCTGATTGTCTCTTTTTCTCTCTTCTAGGCTCTGGCTGGGTTTGCACAGCGCCCGAGCCATGGCGGGTTGTGAGCCGGGTTGGCTTGTCCTGCTGTCCGAACCCAGCCGGAATGGCTTGTGGGTTGTTAACGGGCCATCTTGCTCTGTTTGGTGAGCACAGCAAGCTCCTCTGAGTCGCCGTGTGTTCTTGTGCTTGCAAACTCGGACCCCCCCCCCCTTCCATGCTCGGATGCTGGGGCTGTGCGGCCTCCGTGTGGCAGCTTTTCCCCAGGCCACATCATGTTCTTGTGCACATACTCCTGGCAGACCTAGGGGTGTTCCGCTCCCCTTGGGGGCTCGTCCACACACAGCTGGTGTGAACGGTTTGGGGAGCATGTCTGGCCCCATGATTGCAGAAAGACTGGAACAGCCTAACTGGGGGGACCCCACCGAAGGAAAGGGCCCTACCGATCCACAGCTGGACTGACAGCCATCTGTGGGTCTGTGGCATGACGCACTCTATAACAACCAGATGACCACTCAACTCTGAACTGCCTATGTGGAACAGAACCGGAAGTATATGCACGTAGCTCAGCCTTCCCTAGCTTCTTGATGTGATGGCTGTAGCTTCCGGAGGGGTGCCAGGTTGGGGAAGGTGGACATCAACATTAAGCCAAGATAGAGAGAGAAAACTTGAGCCACTCCTGTGATGTGCTTGCTACCTCAGTGGCGCTCTCCCCTTCCGCCCCAGAGTCCTTTGATCCAGGGCAGTTCTGCACAAGGCGTTTATCACGTGCTCCTTATTCTCTAATCATGGTGGCTTACGGGTTCTTCAGGTGACACTGTGATTCTGCAGCTTGCTTCTGTGTCTCACCAGCACTTTCGGCAAGCTTTTTAAAAAGAGCAAGGCAAGCACTGTATCCCATTTAAAAAATGAAAGAGAACGCGGTTTCCTCTTGTGTACTGGCACTGTTCCATTGAACCACAGAGCCACCCAGCGGTTCATAGTGGAAAAGCAAGAAAATACTTGGGCGGCTCATAGATTCCCTCAGCTCTTTGAGGGAATCAGAAGTAGATGCGGAGGATCAAATGCAAAACTCCTGGATCTTGAGATCAATGAGCTCATGAAGAGAAATTCCCAGGTCCTTTCTCCCCTTCATCCTCACGGCCACCACCCCTCAAAACCTTTGGAGAGGCAGGAGAGGTTGAGCAACGTATGGGGGGGGGGGGCTAGAGAGGGTAGATCAACCCGAGGTGGGTGGGCCTTTTTGCGGGACTGCAATGGGGGGAGTGTCGGTGGGATAAAGCGCCTTGCCTTGCCCCACAAGGAAGGCCAGCTCTGCAAAGGGGGCCACGGTTTCTTTGGCCTCTCCAAGGAACAGGAGCCGGGCTGCTCTGGGGAGTTCGACGTGCTGCGAGCGTGGGCTCTGCTTGGGCTCCGCTGGGGCGGCTTCGGGCCCCCTGCACGCCAGAACGCGTGTTTTGCCTCCCCCAGCGTCCCGGGGTGGAGCAGGGCTTGTCGCCATTGCTCGGCTGATGGGCTATGGCCGTTCTCCTTCGCACTTGCGCACAATAGTCGTCGGTCGGCGTTGCCATGGGAACCAGAGGGGAATGCCCTGAAAAAGAGAGGCATCACAGCCATTTGCTTCCTTTTCCGGGAAATAAACCCCCGTTCCGGGCCAAAGCAAAATAGCAAGGATGAGGGGTTTTTTTACAAGGCATCCCGGAGAGCGGGCAGCGCAGAGCTGCTGTGGGGGAAACGTGGCCACTGACCCGTGGCGGCCCAGCGGCTCCATTTGGAGCCCCAAACGCGCTCCCACCGGTTGCTAAAGGGTCCCGCCCCCTCCGCCGCCCTGCCTGGGGTCTGGCACCCGCTCCTCTGCCCTGGGAGGAAACGCTCCAAGCCACGCAGACCCCCCAAAGCCAGAAACCGCTTGTGTACCCTGCGAGTTCTCAGGTGGCTGCGACACATCCCCACGGCCCACCCGGGCCCATCGGCCTCTGGTGGACACAGCCCAGAGGCAGGTGTGGCTCGGGCTTCCAAAAGCAGAGAGCGATGGGAGCTGCAGTCCAGCACAGCCCCAGCGCATCAGGGAGGAGCAGCTCCAGGGGAGGAAAGCAGGTGGCCGAGGAGACGGCGACAGGCCCGCTGACGGCCTGGAGGGCATCTTGTGTCCGCTGCAGCCTTCCTGGACTGGATCGGGCCCGCCTTCTCCTCAGAGCTGCACCTGAAGAAGCACCAGGGCAGGGTGGCATGTGCCGGAAACGCACAGCGCAGGATGGGGGGCTACAAGCCCCCTTGCTCACCTGTGCAGGAGGGGAGGGGACACTGGGGCCAGAATCCATGGCAAGGTGGGTTGGAGGGCTCTTACACTTACCTGCAGGCCTCCCACACACCTGGTGGTGCTGAACAGACGGGGTACAGGTGGGGTTGGCACCAGGAAGGGCTGGATTTTTCTGCTCACAGGTGGTTTGCTTGGGGTGATCGAACGGATGCCTCTGAGCAGGGGTGGCTCTTCTACCCAGC